AAAAGATCTTTATACATAAAAGGTATAATCATAAATCAGAAGACTGTTGTTATGACGTCATTTCTTCTTAAAATGACCTAATGACTCAATGCCATCCCAGTCAAGGGAAGGGACAAGTTAATTCTACATGTTAAGAGTATGAAAAGAAAGCAGGCCAGAGGGACTGTCAGCCAGAGAAGTTAAAGACTTGAGTTTTCATGTTTGTATTTTTGTTCTAAAGAATCACAACAGACTCTAAGAAGCTTGAGAGAGAGTTGCCCTGGCCGGTGTGGCCCCTTGGCTGAGCGCCCTCCCACGCACACGCCTGGGTTTCCGGCTGGCACAAACAGGAAGCAACCCATCGATGTTTCTCTCTCTCCCTCTCCCTTTCTCCGTCTCTAAAATCAATAAAGGCTTTTTTTTTTTTTTTTTTTTTTTAAATGTTGAGTGAATAAAAGCAAAATTTTTAAAAGAGAGAGAGGGTTACCATGTGAAGGCAACATCTTGGAAAACACAACCTGCAGGACTTTCACTGCAAATGTGTCCAACAGAAGGGCGGAAACAACATGGTTTTCAGTTTTAAATTTTATTAAAGTACAGAGTTAACAAGTTTTGAGTTTTCTACAAAAGAAAAGACTGGTCAAGTTCAGATGCTTCATAGAAAAATTAGCATTAAAAAAACAAATATAAACCCATGGTTGTCTTTGTGACTAAAGGAGGGAAAAACTATTTAAAAAGTTACCAAAACTCTATCCATATCTGAGACCACCGTAAATGTCAAACAGTAGATTTACCACACACATTACATTTTCAAAGTTCTAATATTGCAAACCATAACCACATAATTTGGCTACAGCTAATTGTTTCAGAAAAGTTTAAAAAACAAAGTTATGACTATAAAATTTTTGTAGCGTTTTTATTTTGTAAAGTAAAAAACAAAACAAAAAACCCACCTTAAATCTTTAAGTAAGAAAAACAAAACAATCCTCTTAAATTTCTTATAAATAGCTCTCAAGACATATATTACACATCTGCTACACGCTTTCTTTACCTGAGAGATTTCCCAGGATCCTTCACACCAAAGGATTACCTTCAAGAATTCTTCCGTAACTTTACGCATGTAAATATGACTAAACTACTACAGAAGTGAATTTGGACGTATGCATTCTTAATCCACCCTTCCCCAATTCAGTTTTTGCTGAAAGAATTTTAATTTAAAATAAAACATCTCTTTGGTAAAATGAACACCTCTGCAAACGATTTACTGGGGAAGAAAAAACGAGAAAGTTCTTGAGAATGTCTGGCACTAGTTGGAAGGTCTGTGTGAATAAACAGCTCTCCAGCCCCGAGAGGAAGGGCTACCGCTGGAGAGCCCATCTCCGTCTGAAATGGATCACTGCAGGAAAATGCCTGCCTCTTTCCAACTGCGTTAAAGGTGGCAGGAAACATGGTGTCCTTAAGAACAGTCATAGGGAGTTAGTGCTATTGGCAAATTCGGAAGAACGTCCTACAGGGAAGTCCGAGAGATGAGTGGCTACTGCACTTCCCCTGCTTAAAGAAGGCTCTGTGTTCCCTCTGGGTACAGAGGGTCATGCCCAAGGTCATGCCCTTCTTCGTTACAGGGTAAACCTTCTTTCGCTTCCAGGAGGGGTAGGACATGAACGCACACCGAACGGAGATGCTACTCAGAAAGGCGGTCAAGGGAGAAAAAGCCCAGGTAGCTTGCGTGCAGGCTCTGGAATCCCTTTTTGTAGGTAACATTAAGCACCGATGGCAGTAAACTTCTGGCCAAAATTAAGCACATAATTTAAAAAGGCAGAGGGTGACAACTGGGGTGGGTGGAATGAGCACTGCACAGAGATCACCTATAAGGAAGGAACCTCCGAGGAGCGAGAAATAAACAATTTGGTGTGGGAGCCCACCTGCTGGCCATTCCTGATGGGCACCAGAACCCCAAGTCCCAGTAACCCCACCCTCCCACAGCCCACAGGAACACAGTTCATTACACTGCAAAAGAGCTCCAAACACCTCTAGCAACCAATCTCTTCAAGCCATTTCCCAAGAAACTGTGAGGACAAAACCAACAAAAGCAGGAAGCTTTGAAATAAGTCTCTGGTCTTTAGTCACGTGATGTGGCTTGGTATATAGCCACATTTTCAAAAGAACCCCTTCCCCCACCTAGTCCTTTTTTTTTTTTATCCTCACCCGAGGACATTTTTCCTTTTTTTGTTCAGATAGAGTGGGAGGGAGAGAGAGGAAGAGAGAAAGAGAGAGAGAGAGGAGAGAAACATCGACATGAAAGGGACACATCGAGTGGCTGCCTCCCACATGACCAACCAGGGCCGAGGACAAACTGCAACCAAGGTACACACCCTTAGCAGGAACCGAACCCGGGTCTCTCTGGACCGCAGGCCAGCGCTCTAACCGCTGAGCCAAACCAGCCAGGGCCCACACCTAGTCTTTTATTCACGGAAATGGAAGGGGGATATGCTCTACATCCGACAAATAGCACAGATAAACATTTGCACGTAGTTTAAAACACTTTTTGGGTTTTCGTGGCTAAAGGTGTCTGACCAGCAGCTTCTAGGAATGCACTTTTTAAATCATGTACAAAAAGTTGTAGGAAACGAAAGTCTATTATTTAAAAAAGAATTTATCAAATGAACACCATCATTTTAGCTTTACAACGCAAAGCAATTGGCACAATTTTTCCAGTTTCTTAAATCACAATAGCACAAAAATGTAGGTTCTTTACACCTACAATTGAATGTTGATGTCACACCTGAGTATTGTTTATTACAATTAATAATCATTAAAGTCAACTTAATGTATATGCCCACAGCCCTCAGAGTACATCTACATCTCTCTTGATCATGCAGATAAACCTGATTAAATTCTCAGTTGAGAATAAAAACCAGGTGACAGCAATTATTCCTCTGTGTCAGACCAAATTTAAGAAACTTCAGGCCACAAACCAAGTCTTAAGCATCTGGAAACTGTGGGTTGGCTGGCAGGCTAAGGAAGGAAGCTCCCCGGGCCCTGCCCAGCCAATGTCCTTTCTTTTGTGTTTGCTGAGCTTCTTTCTGCCGGGGCTGGGGCCAGCAAGGGCCAGCCAAAGAATACCAACTTTGTCAGCTTGACCTTGACCAGCTGTAAGACCCAGCTAGCAGGGATTCAACATAACCAGCCTCGTAACTGATACAGCTCCAGCTGTTGATCTGCCTCTCCCTGCGGTCTTTCCTGAAGCCAATCTCCCTGCCTCTGAGCACCCTCACTGCTCTGGCCACTGCAGTGACCAGGGAGCTGTGGCTACCACAGCCCAGCCCCAGCCCCAACCTGTCCCCCCACAGCTCCACTCCCACAGGCTGAATGGGGCTGCACATGGCAACTATTCATTCGGTGACTTCAGATCATCTTTCAACTGCTGAGCACAACCAACTCCTGACCTAATAAAAGGCTCTTTCTCGCACACAGGTGCCTTTTAAAATGGAATCTCAATGTCAATAAGACAAGTGCCTAGAGGAATTCATCCCTTGTACTTGTTTTCCTCCCTTGATTTCTTTTTTTTTTTTATCCTCACCCGAGGACATTTTTTGTTCAGATAGAGTGGGAGAGACAGAGAGAGAGAGAAAGAGAGAGAGAGAAACATCGACACATCGACATGAAAGGGACACATCGAGTGGTTGCCAACCACACGACCCAACCAGGGCCAGGGACAAACTGCAACCAAGGTACGTGCCCTTAGCGGGAACCGAACCCGGGTCTCTCTGGACCGCAGGCCAGTATTCTAACTGCTGAGCAAAACCGGCCAGGGCCTCCCTTTTTTTCTTAAGAGGAAGGCAAAAAAGTAGAAATGACGAATTTGACTGATTTCCAAAGCTAGTGTGTTGGCGCGCTGGAGCCCAGCTTCCACGGGACCCAGTTCTGCCCTGCGCACACAGCAGGGCACAGGGCTGTCTCTGCCAGGGAGGCTGCGGATGCTCCCCACTGCGTGAAATACTAACCGGAGCGTCCTTGCGGTGTCTCCACCGGAGTCTCTAATGGACTGTCCCCCAATAAACTCTTTCTTGACCAAGAACATCAGCACTGAAAATGGCCATCTTCCTGGGCAGCTGCCCAAAGCCCAATATCTCATGAATGTTACTTTACAAGCATGTATTTTAGAAATTTCTGTGGATGTTATTTACGGCTTAAATAGCTCCACCACCCACCTCTCCTTCTAAGTACGTATGCCTGCTCACTTCTACAACTGAGATCCTCACCTCAGCAGATCTACTCCAATAAACCCACACTGGTGTGGTCTCATCACAGATTTGGAAATCAAAAGCCCTCTGCCTTTACCATTATAAAGGCCTCAAGGTGGAAGAGAAACTGGGGGGCTGACCTTAACCATGGAGAGAGGGGCGCAGCAGGCTTCAGTCGGGAAGCAACTTTTCAGGTAAGGTCTTAAAGTATTATTACTATCAATACCACGAATAAGTATAGCGCTCCATCATTTAGACAAAAAACAAAACAAAACATGAATCTTGTTCTATCATCATGTGAATACCCCACAAATAAGAGTCATAATTATTGCAGTAACTTGGATATGGTAGTGATAATACGGTGGGGGAATCACACAGGTGGTGATAGGAAATTGTGCTTTTTCACATTATAACAAAGATATTGAACCCAGAAAGGACGGGGGACCAGAAGGACAACGGCAGATGTGATTCCCAGCATCACAGCTTCAAAGGAACTGTCTGGGGGCCCGGAGGAAGCCGCACAGGTGCAGTTAAAAGCAGGTGCTTCCTCTTGTGCCAATAAACTCCAGGGGGCAGTGAGCAGGGTCCTGCGGGCCAAGGTGTGGGGAGGGGTCTGCATTCTGTCAGGGGCTGAGGGCTCAAGGTTTTGGCATGTTTTCTATTCCAAGGAGAAGAATGACCGACAGACCACACAAGGTACATCTGTATCTATCTTGTGACAAGATGATGTACTCCAAACTCTGTTTTGGTAAAACCATGCAGAAGAAAAATACTAACCTAACCACTACCGTGGTTTTCAGGGGTAAGACACATACAAAATACAGTATCAATCAGGATCAACTTGGTTGAAAATTTCGATTCTTTTGGGATGATCTGGTAGTTTGTTTTTGAATTTCAGAATTGAAAAGCTCATCGGGTGACTTTTCTTCCCTGAAAGCCAGGAAATGCCAGCTCTTCGAAAAGTGCCAGTCACTCCTCAGACCCCTGGGCCACTTGTTCAAAGGACATGGCTTCCGGCCGCAGGCCTGCTGAACCAAGGGGACTGCTCAGGTCCTCACACGTAGAACTGCCGAGTAGGGCAGCAGAGGGGCGCGACCAGCGTCCACAGGTACAGCAGCACGCACATCCAGCAGGAGGCCATCTTGACCCAGAAGATGGACCAGCTCCCACTGAAGAAGGTTTCGATGTTGGCACTCTCATAGCTGTGGAAACAAGAGAGCCAGCTGTGGTCAGAACGGGGAGAGAATCGCTGGGAGAAAGTCTCTTCTCCCGAGTGTCTCCCTGTGTCTGCCCCTCCAGCCTTTCTTGCTTTATGATGACTGAATTCACATGTAATTCACACCCATTTAGCGTGTACAGCTCAGTGACTTTTATTATGTGCACAGCTTGTGTAACCTCCACAATCCATTTTCAACGCTCTTGTCACCCCAAAAAGAAACCCTGCACCCTTTAGCTGCCCTCCCATTTCCTCCCCTCCTCCCGCCCCAGCATTCACTCATCTATTGTTGGTCTTTATGGATTTGCCTATTTGAGACATTTTCATTTTCTTATGGAATCACGTGGCCTCTTGGGACTGGATTTTTTCACTCGGCATGTTTTCAAGGTGTATCCAGGTTGTAGCATGTACCAGTATTTTATTCCTTTTTATGGTTGAGTAATACTGCATTGTCTGGAGACAGCACATTTCATTTATCCATCAGTTAGTGGACACTTGGGTTGTTTTCACTTTTTGGCTGTTATCACTGGTGTTGCTGTGCACACTGTGTACACGTTTTTGTGTGGACATAAGCGTGCTTGTTCTTCATTCGGGTATATACTTGGGAGTGGAACTGTCATACCGTACCATAACTCTGTTTACCATTCTGAGGAGCTGCCAAACTGTTTTCCAAAGCAGCTACACCATCTTACAAGCCTACCAGGAGTGTAGGAGGGTTCTAATTCCTCCACATCCTCGACTACCTTTGTCATCATCTACCTGACTGATCACAGCTCCCTCCATTCTTTCTTAAGTTTCCCAAACCAGAAACCCCCAGTAGTTCTCAGAGTATCACTGGGAAGCATTAAGAGCTTCCCTATCTTCTCCCTCGGGAGGAGAGGGGTCCCCCATCACTCTGAAACCACTGCTCCCACCACCCCCAACCCCACAAGGTACTCCTCATTCCTCTCATTTCATTTTCTCCCCAATACTCACCACCACCCGACACACTGCGTTTGATCAGGATCGTGGTCTCCCCATTAGAATGTAAGCCCTGCCACCTAGACCAGAGCGGCGCGTAGGAGCCACTCAAATGCTTGTTGAATGAAAGAATGAAAGAAAGCACAACGAACCTAATGTCTATCCTATGTTACTTTTTATACTTACATATGAGCTTTTTAAAAAAGATGTTTAAAACTTTTGTAATGAAAGCGTAAAGAAAAAAAGACAAAAGACAAAGTAGAAAGGGGTGTTTTCTCTTTCTTAAAAGCAGATGGGGTGGTGAACACACAGTGCAATATACAGATAATGTATTATAGAAATGTACACTGGAAAACTATATGATCGTATTACCTAATGTCACCCCACTGAGTTTAATAAAATGTTTAAAAAGCAGATGGTTACTTAAGAATTCCAAGTGCTTCCTCCATTACTATTGCTATGTTCTTCAAGACGGCCCATGTGCCGTTAACCTTCCCTATTTTGAAGTTGCGGTGCGCCTTGGCAAGTTTCGGGGCTAGAAGCAGGCCGCTGGACCGTTAGGAACTTGAACCGTTTCTGTAAGGGGGAGCACACTGCTTGACTTGCAAACAGCTTAGCTGAATCTGGGGGATCTGATCGATGTCTCAGCTCCCTAAAGAACTCCCTAAAGAACTTACATTGCTTTTTGTAAAGACTGCTCCTTCTAAAACGCCTAAGAAAATGGGCCACTCACTTGAACCAGTTGGTGACGGTCATCATCACATAGAGGGAAGCCAAAAAGAACACTCCGTGGAAGTAGGAATAGCTGTAGACGGTGCTTCTCTTCTCATCATAAATGACGCCCGGCCCCTCTTTCAAATTCTGCTGCTCTTCAGTGTCTGTGAACCACAAAGCCAGCAGCAGTTCAATGAGTGAACACATGCACACTGACTGCTTTTGCAGACACACTCGTACCAACCCAGGGGCCCTTCGGTAGAAAAGATGTCAAAAGCCACTTGTACCCACAGGCAATTCTCATCTATGCCAAAAGCACAAACTCCCCATCCCACCCCAAAACCTTCCCGAACAGGATGAGTTATCTAATATCTCATTTATTTATTTTTTAATCTTATTGTATCAAGTCAAGTTTATTTATTTTTTTATTGATTTTAGAGAAAAAGAGAGAGAGAAATATTGATTTATTGTCCCACTTATTTATGCATTCATTGGTTGATTCTTGTATGTGCCCTGACCAGGGATCCAACCTACAACCTTGGCATATGGGGACAACACTCTAACCCACTAAGCTACATGGCCAGGGCACATCCCATTTCTTTTAATAGAGCAGAAAAAAAGAAAACCATTAAAAACACAAACTTATTGCCCGGCTGGTGTGGCTCAGTGGTTGAGCATCGACCCATGTACCAAGAGGTCGCTGGTTCGATTCCTGGTCAGGACACATGCCCAGGTTGTGGGCCTGATCCCCAGTGGGGGGCATGCAGGAGGCAGCCAATCGATGTTCTCTCTCGTCGATGTTTCTATCTCTCTCTCTCCCTCTCCCTTCCTCTCTAAAATCAATAAAGAAAACAAACAAAAAACCACAAAATTATTATAGACTCAGAAGAAAGTGAGAGTAGACCAGAAGTTCTCAAGCCCCTGGGATCTTCCAATCCAAGAAGAAAAGTTAAGTTGAGGGAAAGAAATGGTTCAAAACAAGGTGTCAGGACCTCTTGATATTTTCCAAATTCCTTTTAAAAAAAATGTACTTTCTCCTTCTCTAAATCTCACTATATAACTTAAATATGAGCTACAATATTAGATTGATTTCCCACCTGCCAGAATACCAACACAAACAAGCAAAACCCAGCAACCCTTTGGGGACAATGTGAAAAGTATGTACACAGTAAACTGGCTTTGGCATAAAACTTTCCCCTTACCATTCAGTTATTTGTACCTGGATCTCAAATGTCTACAGACTAGAGCTACAGGACTGCAAGCCCACGTAGATGCACAGAGGGAAAGTTCTGTACTTACCTTCTCCATAGGGACTGAAGCAAAAGCAACACCGAGCTACCTGGGAGAACAAAACCGACAGTCAGGTGGCTTGCTTTCTGCTCTCCACATCAGTAAGGCACTAAGGCCACTGCATGCCAAGCCCTCCCCATCGGAATTATATCCCAGGCTCTGAACTGCACACCTTATCCCTTCAGAAGGTTTTTTTTTTTTTAATTTTTTTTTTTTAATGTTTTTTATTGATTTTTTTAGGGAGAGAAACCAGGACCTCTCAGTCCATGGGAGCACACTCAATCCACTGAGCCACACTGGCCAGGCTTCCTTCAGAAGGTTTTAACTAAGTTCTTCCTAGATGCTCTGGGTGCTGGTGATAGGAAATACAGTGGACATGGGGGTGAGCCACCAGTTCCCCTTCCAAGGTGCACACTTAGTTATTACTACGATCACTGTGAGCAGACAGTCTCTAGACTGCAGCTCCCAGGCCTTGCCCCAGCGGCAGTCATCCTGTCGGAGGGCAAACCCTTTCTGGGCAACCCACAGGAATGGGTGCTCACAGCAGGTGTGTAGGGGAGCAGCCACTGACCCGAGGGGCAAGCCTGATGGGTGCCCGGGAGCACTTGCTCAGCCTGCAGCACCCTTCGGCATCACCCTCTGCCCATGTCTGTCCCTTCTTCCCTTCCACTTGTGTTGAGCCCTAATAAATATCCTGCACATCAAACTGCCTTGACAGCTGCTCCGGAAAAACTCAACCTGAGACACAGAGTGAAGAAGACAAGACCCCCGCTGTCATGGAGCTCACTCCTGGTGCTTTGCTCCACTCGCTACTTTATCAAACCCTCTCCGACCTCGGAGGCTGGGATTATTATTCTATTTACAGTGAGGAAACTGAAGTCAGGCAGGTTAAATAGTTGGCCCGAAGTCACGCAACTAGCTTAGTGACAGGAGCTGGGATATGAATGCAACAGGGGAACTCCAAGGCCTATGATTCGCAAAAGGCAACAGGTAGCATGTGATGTCCAGGAGGGGGTGGAAGTGGGAAACCGAAGGGCTGTGGAAGCAGGAGGCTGACCCACGTTTCCTGTGAAACCTGGCTGCTCAACTGGCCGTCTCTAAGGCACAGGGAGCCAGGGACAGGAATGGGTGGCTGCTTCCCTTTGGAGAGCCTGTCGTACCTTTGCAATTTCGTACCATGTTTCTTTCTAACCTACTCAAAATAATGAACTTAATTTTTAAAATACCAGGTAATGAAAAATAACTAGATTCCAGAAGGACTCTAATAAACAAACAGAAGCACTACATGTACCACCATGGTCTGGGAAGCGCTGGGTCCTCAACACTTTCTGGCTGATGACATTTTTACTGCAAAGAACAGAATCAAGAACAAGGACGTGGGAGCTTGAGCCTTCGTCCCATTTATACCCCTCAAGGCCACATCCTTGTTCCCCTCCTACATCAAGGGAACTGTAACAGACGGATTGCCCTTGGATCAGGTGACACAGTCGAAGACTCACTAATTCATTCAGGGGGCCCAAGTCATGGTGTACTGGGGTCCTAGTTCTCCTGAAGCTTAGGTTACCACAAGACACTAGCCCTCTTTCAAAGGTGTATCCTGTGAAACGTGATACAAGGAGAGTAAACCAACTTCCATCCTGCATGCTCACCATTTCCAAAGGAAACACTGGGGCTTTTCCTCGGAATAAGAAAAACATCCTCTCTTAAATCATACTTAGAGACGTGCTGTCCTCAGCACCTTAGCTCTGTGCACAATGGGGATATTGAAACCATAAGGTACCACCCCAGCAGGTGGTCACCCAGTCCGTGGTAAGAACAAATGCCTGCCTTCTAGAGACCATTCTTTTCTGTATAATAGGCAGTAATCTATTCAGACTCAGCACAGTTTTCTCCTTTTTTAAGTGACAGAAAGAGCTGGTGAATGACGCTGGCAGACTGACAACTCTTCATAATGGTTCCCTGTCTCCAGGTCAGGTGCAGGAAAGACCATCCCCAGAGACACAGCTGCAGAAGAAAGCTCCCATCAGATATACCAGGGCTCTTCAATCCAGGGAAACTATTAGCATGCAGCCAGGGCAGGGTGCCAGGCAGGGTGACCAGTCCAGCCAGACCAGGAGGCAGTGGTAGCAGTGGTTAGGAACACAGGCTCTGGAGCCAGAGTACACGGTTACATGTTGACAAAGAAAAAGTTTAAATGACTTTGCAAAATGGAGAGAAAACCCTCCCTGGGTTTTTATGAGGATTAAATGAAATGACACGTGGCACCTAGAACTGTGCCTGGAACACAGCAAGGACAAGTCTTAGCCATCACTGGAACTTCTCATTCTTTCCACTCGTGAGGTCAGGGCTGAGTCTTCTCCCAACTACCTCCATCTGGTTAGACCTTTGAAGGCCATGGTGGATGCTCCACTGTGATAAAATAAGGCACTCTGCTGACCGACGGGCATTTGTGGACCACCATGATTCTTTGCACACCTGTGGTTCACAATCCTTCACTCAATGGAATACCCACCTGACAGAACCGACCCACCTAAATAAGCTAATGTGCACACAATGCTCAGCCGTGGGCACCCACAGGTGCTGTCCCTTCCCTTCTCCACGGCCTCTCCTCCTTCGGAACAGCTATTACATAACCTCACGGCTGTGCTACGTATGGAGGGCACCGACAGGTGTGTAAAACAGAGGAGTGGACGAGAAGTTAAAACAAAAACTGCACACACATTTCCATTATGACAGGAGAAAAGAACAAAGACCAGCCTGATGTGGGCAGCTGGGTGTCACACAAGTGGCCAATTTTATTGGAGGAAAATCAAGGATTTTAATCCCATAGTATATACAGGATATTTCTTTTTGTACAAAAATTGTATTCTTGGGATCATGGAATATAGATCAATAAAGATACAAATAAACATAAAAAGCCTTCCTGGAAAATGGGTGTTCTGAGACAAAGCTGGACAAAAAAAGGAAATGAACTTACTTCCAGTTCAGGATCTGCATAGCGCCCTTGCAGAGCATCTGAACTTGATCTTGTGGTCGAAGTCAAACTAGGAAACAAACAGAGCATGGTAACTGTTACAGCACATCAAAGGAAGGGCGGACCCCTGGCCAGGGCCGCAGTGAGGGGCTCAATAAACCGCAGTTCTCAGTTCTCGCTGCTCAGATGAACATAGTCTATTTTAATATCTACTTTATTCCCAAACTAGCCAGCCAATTCTATAGCTGATGACGTTTCCATGAATTATGTTAGATCATTTTGTGCAAAGGGAAGTTTGTAAAGAAATAAGATGTCTTTTGGTCCTCTTATCTTGGTTTTTACCTCTCCTCCCTTAAATGCCAAAATGATTTTCTGATTTCACTTTTATCCTCCCCCTCTCTTTGATCTGTCTCACTTAAAAGGTGGCAATAAAAATGAAGGGCATGAAAAGCAAAGGTACCAGTTAATTACTGTGGTAATCAGCCTACGACAGAACAAGGTTTTCTGTTTAGAAATTCAATAGAGTAGCTCGCTGTTAATGTGATTAAAGAAAAAGAAATTTTCTGCCTCTTTCGCTATACCTCGAGAGGTAAAATGTTATAAAATTTGACTCACAGGTGTGAAAGTGGTATTTCTTTTTCCTGGGGAAATGGGGGAGGGAGGATCGGCAAATAGAAATATACTTAGGGTCATACTCAGGTTCCATCTAACTGTATACATTTGTTTAGAGCTCTTTCCTGAAAGCCGGTTGTGTCAGACCCCCCTCTAGGCACTGGGGCCTCAGTGGAAGGACAATCCCTGCTCTCGGGCAGCTTCCCTGCTGGGCAGGTGCTGGGACTGGGGGAAGGCGGTGGGGGAGCGGGGTGTTGGCTAGTGGAGAGGGAGGAATTAACAGGCTCTTTCAACCAAATAAACAAGAGGCAACACTGCCTTCTCTGCTCATTCATGTCTTTCCCAAGGAGAGACTAGATCAATGGAGATGCAAATAAACAATAAAGAGCCTTAGTCATACAAAGGTTCTCTGGGATCCAAGTGCTTGCTTCTTTTGTGGTCCACTCAAGTCCAATAGCATCACTTTCATTTCTGTTTGGAACAATGGAGGCTAATCGAGACCCACGCGACTCCCACTGCCTGACTGAGCCCGGCAGAGCAATGACAGAAACATGTCAATGGCTGTGCACCCAAGAAACACACACCTCGCGCCTGCGTGGAGGTGGGTGCTATATTTTGTGCCTATGAATTATGATTTAGGACAGTATATCGTTTCCAATGAGGGGAAATATAACCTCCAATTCTAGGAAGAGATAATTATCTGGAATTCATCTAAAAGATGATATTTATTTATTATGTCTGGCAGGTTTGGTTCAGCGAGTGGAACATCGGCCTGTGGACCAGAGAGTCCTGGGTTTGGTTCCCGCTAGGGGCACATACCAAAAAAATAAAAGATGATATTTATATTTTAAAGAAGGTAGAAAAATATTCATTTTATAAATTCTTTGTGATGACTGGTTTCTGAACAACGAAGCTTTGATTCTGGCATCGGTGTTGTGTGACTTCCACAAGGAGACGTTACTATGAAATAGGGTTTTTATTCCGTCGTGGCCTGTCCCCGCAAAACATTCCTCTTGGAATAATCAAGAAAATATTGTTTTTCCAAGCTCTTTAAAAGCACAGGAAATTCTTACTGTCTGCATCCTGGCTATTACTGACCCATCTGTTCGGTCCGGGCAATACAAGCTGTTGTAAAATAATTCCCGGATTATCCATAACTGCTTGTCTCCTAAGCCTAAGGTACGAGCGATGTTAGCGGGACTTCCTGTGGGGGTGAAGGAGACTAACAGTATTTGGTTGGGACAATGCTTCACTATACAGAGAATGTCAATACACTGTGGTGTGGTTGCGGTCCTGGCCCGGTCACAAAGAGCCAGCAGTGGCTTACAGTCACTGTGACAGCCAAAAAGGTAAGATGCCTCCCCGTGCTCCTGCCCAGAGCATCTTCCATACTGGCAGAGTGACTGCAAACACCCCCGAATTACAGAAAATCTCTAAAACCATGTCCAGACTTTGCTGTCGGAGACTATGGATTCTGCTTTCCTGACAAACTCACAGGGCAGGCCTCTGAGGGGGCCCATGACCATCACCAGCTCCGTGTGATGAAGTTCGGCCACGTTCCCGCCGTCCTGCGCCACTGCCGACTCAGCTCCCAAAGGAGACCGGAGTCCTACTGGAACCTGGGCCCAGCCTCAACAGGCCCCTGCTGCAGGACACGAACATCTCCAGCTGGTAGGTTAGAAAGTGGTAGGATTCCCAAAATAAAGACACACCCACCCTCCTTTTTCTTAAATCAGAGTGTCAGGGCCAGAGCACACCACAGAAGACAGACCCCTCCCTGATTTGCCAACTTCTCTTTTTTTAGGCCAATTTCTCTCTAATGCCAACTTATCAACCTTGCACCTGTTTTACATAGTATGCAACCCTGCTAGGAATGTCCCATTTTGAACTAGCAAGTTTGACATTTAATAAAGATTCTCAGCTTTTCCAACTTTGTATTCAGTTTCAGTAACACTTAAGAGAAAATGCAGTTAGCTCGTAAGCTGTCTAGGAGTCTGAAGTCGCTGGGGAATGTTTCACAGCACAGGTGTGCCTGATAATATAATTACGCGAGTCATCTAGCTTATCTTGCTACCTCGGCGAAGAACAGACTTGCCGCCAAGCCAACACGGGAAAAATGTGACCCGTCCAAATGCCCCGGCAGGAGAGGCTCAAGGAAAGGTGGGCTAAAACGGGGGTGGAGAGCTACAGGAATAGGCTCCGTGCCTCGGTTTCCTTTTACGTACAGTGAGGGGATTGAACTTGACTGACTCCAGGATCCTATCCAGTCTGACAGCTTGAACTTGAAACCAACAGAAAAATAATTTTTAAATCCAGAGGCCAAGGAAAGAATTAAGGACAGGTTGGGGGAAGCCATGGCCTGGAGGTTGGGGGGGGGGGGATCAGCCTATAGAATGAGCCATTGGGGAGCTACTGCATGGGGTCCAAGTTGTGACACTTCTTCACCACAGTAATGCCTGGGTGCCACAGAAGCGGGTTCCGGAGAAAGGGTGGTCTCAGTCAGAAAGCCGGGGGTGAGTTTTAGCTGAGCCCGTCTTTCAAGACAAGACAACAAAAGAGTAAAACACACTCACAGTGAGTATGTCAGAAGCAGAACTTGGAACAGAGAACCGGGAACTAAGGATGGAGGTCACCATGAGAGCCCCCTAAAGTGTGTGGCGGGGCTATACATAAATAGACGGGAAGATAGTACAGCCAGCCTTCCATGGCCTCATAGAAAGGTCAGCCCCAGCAATCTTGGACTTTCACTGAAAATGGGTGTTTTCTTCTCCCTTTAATGTACATCTACTCTACCCAGTCTTTTGGCTTCCTACAGTTTCTATCAAGAATTCTAGAAATTCCTGCAATCATGTTCAAATGACAGTTTCCACCCAACCTCTTCTTGAGACATCTTCCCAACTTTCACTCCTCCGGGCCTGGGAGTAAAACATAAACCCTAGAAGCCGCGATCTGAAACCCCCGATTGGGCCACCTCCCACCCCTAACAGAATTCCCTTTTTTCAAGGCCCAACTAGGCCTGAACTCACTTCCCAGGGAGCTGATGACTCCCAGAGCTGCAGTGAATAACTGAGGCAAACATTAATCACTCAATACCCCCATCCCCGCTGTGGGGCTTCACAGAGTGGGTTACATGTGTTACACAAACACCCCGGGCGCCACCTGGCTATTCTGATATCCACTTGGTGTGTGGCTGCTATTTTCTACCTCCTCTTCCGTCGGGCACTGTGGTCTTGCAGTTTCATTACTAGCATTCGATAACATTTGCTATTGCGTTCAGACAGATTTTAAGTAGCAGCTGTCAGCTTTGAAAATCGTTCTCTTTTGGGGGCTACCAGACTAGACCATACCAACCCTATTACATTGCCTCTGAGGTCCGGAAGAGGTGATGTTTTATCATCACTCACTCAAGGGTGGTGGTGAAAAGCTGATAGGGTAAAAATTCCATGCTGCAAAACAACGCCACGTGTGGCAAGTCCATCAGCACATTAACGAGAATGTTTGCCATCTTTCCATGGGTATGTTTAAAGCAAATCCAAGCCCTGTTTTATCTGAGTGGCAAACATTATTTTTTAGGCATCTAGCAAGCAACCCATAAAACATATGACTTTGCTCTTTCACATATCTTTACAATTTTTTTCTGATAATTAAAAAAATGCTAGCTCACTGCAAAAATATTTTTTAAAAGAAAACAGAAGAACAAGAGGAAAAAAAAGTCACCACTATTACAAGTTTAGTTTATTTCCTTCCAGAAACTTTTCTATATATATAAATACAACTATGTTTTATATGTTTTTAATGGAATGTTCTATATTTACAATTTAGTAACCTACTTTATCCTCACTTGACTTACCAATATTTTTTATATGCCAATTCAAAAAAACAAAAACAAAACAACCGAATAACCAATGGAATTAGCCATGTTGCTGCCATTTTCCCCTGAAGCCCAATAACAGACTTAGGAAGGAAAACCTTGCTCAAAAAAGGAAGAGCTGAGTGAGAATCAAAATTCAAAACTCGGGTTCCTTTATGGTTTTTCCTGAAAACATTCATTGACTTGCACCCAAATTCTTTCCATCTGTCTATCATCTATCTATCTATCTATCTATCTATCTATCTATCTATCTATCTATCTACCTACCTACCTACCTACCTACCTACCTACCTGTCATCTAATCTATCTATCGTAGGTACTCAGTGAACAGTTATGAAATCATAGAAATCAAAGGCCAGAAAGTGGTCACCATGTACCATATATGAAGGAAAGGCTGTTCCACAAGCTGGACCCAGGCCAGAACAGAGGTTACTTTTGGCAAATCCCACTTAGATAATGTCTGATGATAAATAGTGTTCATTCTGACATAAATCGTCAGCCCTTCCTTGACTCTTGCTATGTGCTGGTTCCTGGAACAGGTTGTCGTCCTGACCTAGTCAAGCACACAAAATAATTTCTGTATCTGGTAGCGTTCAAGCACTCCCCATCCACCCCCCATTACCCTACAGAATTCTTTGGCACCTGCCAAGAGGCATAGGGATCCATTTTGTCTTACAACCACCCAAGGCATGCCTCTTACACAAGCTTCCCTTAATAAATTCTATTAATGACCAGACTGGAATGACCAGCCTCTTTGGTCTTTCCCTGCCCTCCATATACAAAGGAAGATTTTCAGTCTTGTGGTTTTTCCCTGGGTCTGTGGTCCCTTCTGGTGCAACAAGGAGAATCTGTCACTATGTCAAAGACAGAGTGAGCAATGTCACACCTCCTTTACCGTAACCATCACCTGCAACACAAGCAAGTACTTGATCCCTTCCTAGCATTAGGGGATGGTAAAAGCTATAAGAGGAAATGCTGCTCTGACCAGTTTGGCTCAGCGGTTGAGCGTTGGCCTGCGGACCAGAGAGTCCCAGGTTTGGTTCCTGCTAGGGGCAAGTACGCCAAAAAAAAAAAAAAAAGAGGAAATACCAACTTGCTCAGAAAGATGTAATATTTACACAAGGTATCACCACCAGCATTGTTTCATTTTAGTCAAAAGATTAAAGCGTACCTAGGACAAGTTGGAATTTTTATACACTGAAACATCACAAATAGAACATAAAACACAGAAGTAATACCTAAATATGAAAAGGTTATTGTCAAAGGGAGACTTAATTATCAGTGAAACATCTACCCAGAATAAGAAACAAACCATTTCTACCTTTTACTTTTCCCCCTCTGGCAATCTTTGAACATTTTAAAGGTGGAAAAACCCCACCATCAGCATCTGAAATACAACCTGCTTATGTATCACACCTACTTTTGGAGAGCTGTCTGGCCTCCTTAATGAACCTTGTGGGTTTTAGCATAAAAAGAAAAGGGGCGCTTCCTGTCTTTCCTGGACCGGACACAAAATGACCCTCTAGGTAATACTTTGTACTTTGCATCAACAGAAGAACAAATGGCATTTCCCTTGGGTTAGAAAGCTTCCCAAACATTCTAGTACATAACATCTCTTCCTCACTTTTCCCCCTTGCCCTCCAATAACGCTTTATCAAGTAATATTCAACCGTCTTTTAAAGGGTTGCAACAAACCACATACTTATTTTATTTGCCCCATATAAATACAGGACAAATGAAGTCCAAACACCTATTATTTCTATTTTCTTTCTTCCTCAGAAGGATTTGGTTTTGCTGCTTCATGGCTACTAAAACTTACTTAAATTCTTCTGCACATTTAAAGTCTGCAGCTATGGCCTCAGGTAACTCCTAAAACTTACCATGAATATAAGATACATGCAAACAGGAGAGTGGTACCCAGTCCAGTAACCAAGTTCTCGTCTCTGTACAGGTCCTGACCCAAGTTAGGCACACAGATCGTAATGTTCTTCCCATGTTCATCCAGAACTTGTAAAGAAAAAACAAAGTAACCACAGTTAAATTAGGAAAACCTGTTATAACTCAGACTCACTCATTTTGGGAAAATTCAGGCAGCTTAGAAGAGTGAAGACTTATCACTGGGAACTTCTACTCTGCAGTCCGACTCTATTCAGACTAGACTGCTGCTAATTCAAAGCATCCCTCTCCCACCTCAGAACCCTCTAGAACAAGACCCTCAGATTCCAGCTCAGTACTAAAGGGTTTTTCAGTTCAGGATCTTGGAAGAGTCTTGCTCTTTTTCAGTACTATTCAAATAGCAAAAAGTAAACTTAGATTCATTTTTCAGTTGATTTGGCAGCCTCTGAACAGAGATGGTGTGCAAATCATCGAGTGCTCTGTGTACATCCTGTCTGCGGTGTGGTGAGGTACTGATGAACTGCCAACCGTGTACCAGCAGAACAAGAGCCATCTGCCCACAGCCTCACCCAGATCAGAAGTCCTTTTACTGTGGTAACAGGACAGCTGTGACATCTTTCAGACCGTAACCTGGGAACCTCCTGAGATGGTCTGGATTTTTTAAATATTTTGAGAGGCACCCGGCTGGTGTGGCTCAATGACTGAGCATCAACCCTGCACCAAGAGGTCGCCAGTTCGATTCTCGGTCAGGGCACCTGCCCAGGTCACAGGCCTGATCCCCAGTGCAGAGCATGTAGGAGGCGGCCAGTCGATGTTCTCTCTCATCGATGTTTCTCTCTCTCCCTCTCACTTCCTTTCTCTCTAAAATCAATAAAGAAAAAAAATTTTTTAAAATAAATAAATAAAATAAAATATTTTGAGAGGCTATGTAACAAAGATTTCTGTAGTATTACCATCAGTGGTAGATTTTTTATTTTTTATTTTTGTCCAACACAGAGTCTTCAATTTTGAACACCCAAGCTAGGTCTGACTGCCAACTCTGCCCAAAACTAAGGGACAGAAACCATTTTACAAACATGCACATTCTAAGTGTTTGAAGTTGGACTGAAATTATGGCTGGTACTCACACTTGAAACAGTAAACACATCTGTGTGTGCTGTGGTTAAAGGAATCTTTATTCTGAGGCCAATGAAAAATGGATTTTAAAAAACTGACCAAATATGAGCCTTGCTATTTAATACCACCTGAAATTAAAAATACAATTTTTTTTTCTTTTTAAGTGATACCTGCCATTAAAAAGAAAACTACTATTAACCAAAACCCCTATTAAGTTAAAACTAGAGAGTAATATATAGTCATAAAATGTTAAAGAGACTAGGTTTAAATAAACTTAGTCAAGATAGAGCTTTTAAAAAAAATTATATCCAAGAAAAACTGTACTTTATATAGGGCCTACAATCATATCACTTCGCACTATAAATAACTATAAAAACAAGACCAATACATAGCACATGCATATGCTAAAATCTTTCAAATTATCTTTGCCTCTGCTTGCTAAATTAAAAGAAAGAAAACTGTAATTTTTTATTCTTGAGGAAAGAGAGTACATTTTACTTGATTTATATTAGATCATATGTACCCCAACATACACACATTTATATATACTTATATATATCACACAAGTGATCAAGATAAATTATAATGCGATTGAAAATCAAAATAAGAAAATTTGGTCTTTTACTGGCAAGGCTCAGGGGCTTACGTAATAACACCTTATAATATAATACAGTGCTCTTACAGTTCTCAAATAATCATTGCAACTACTCTACAATAATAATAGCTCACCCTTATATAGCACCACTATGTGCGAGGAACTGTGAATTCTTAAAAGCCACTTTATAAAATAGTAATCTTACTTAATTATCTTGTTAAATTAAGAACTAAAATTCTTATTTTAAAGGCAAGACGTCTAGGCAGAGAAAGTTACTTAAGTAACTTAAGTTACTTTCTGTGTAAGTTACTTAAGTGGCAGACGGGCTACCCAGGCAGGCAGTCCAGCTCTAAAGCTCAGACATGTTCTGTCGTCTCCAAATACATGTTATATAAAATGAGCCAGTCAAGGTCGCAGCCAGCCAGCAAAGGGTGCCACTGGGCTCAAATCTCTTCCTGTCTCTTGCTTCCCATACCCATGTTTTTCACACGCTCTCTATTTCAGTCAGAGAAATGACCACCTGAAGAAAAGTAAATTAATATCCAATTTAAAACAAAATTAACAAAGCAAAATCAAAATATTACTTGAACATGGAGGGAAAATGCAGATTAAGCCTAAAAGCAAACTCAACAGTCTGCCTTTGTCCATATCTATCCTACACAGCAGGAAAACTAGAAAGAAGGAATTTTCATTTTCATATCCCACCTTAAAGACTTTATTTAATGAAAAAGTCTAAATCATTTCACTATTTTGATTTATTTGAAGCCAGGGGGTGTAGCTCCGTGGAAGAGCACGTGCCTGGCATGTATGAGACCCTGGGTTCAACTCCCCGCAACTCCATCTGCAACTCGGCCTTCAACACCACCCCTGAAGAAACACAGGCTCAGCATGATTTACTGCATCCTTGCTATTTAAACAATAGCTCACAGAGACATACTGCTTCCTCCACAAATAAAAATATTCATACCACAAACACAGGACTCCTAGCGAGGCCAGCTTACCTACTTCTTCAGGTTTGCTGGACAGAGCTGAAAAAGTGAGATACGTGACATAGCAGCTTATGAGACCCGACTGCAGTAACCCGGAGTGTGGCTGTCCTGGAAAAGGACCAGAGACAGATTTTAAGACAGTGTTTTCAATTTCAACAATAATAAATAAAGCACGTACTTAAAAAAAAAAGGTCTCCACACTGCCCCAAATGACATTCATCAAACTTGGACCCCCTGCCTTTAATGGAAAGAGAGGTACGTAATATATTTCTTAGATAATACTAACAAGATTGGGGGGGAGCCTACATTTTTGTAGGGGGAGCCTACAAGTACACACTGAGTCTACTTGCTATTTTAGAGATGCTAAGTTCTGCCAAGTTTTCTACCAACACCTTCTTTTGTTTTTGTTTTTGTTTTTTTTGGTTTGTTTTTTTAAACTTATCTTTATTGTTGAATGTATTACAGATGTCCCCCATTTCCCCCTACTGACCCCTTCCTCCCTGCTTCTGCCCACCTCCTGCCTTCCCACACTATTTTCTGTATACATTGGTTATGCATATGTGCATTTATGTTCTCTGGTTTATCCCCTCCGGCCTTCCTCCCCCTTCCCTTTGAGGTTCATTAGTCTAACAACCAATTTGTACTTCTTAATCCCTTCATCTGTTTCGTCCATTCCCCCAACCACCCTCCCATCTGGCAACCATCAAAAAGTTCTCTATCTCTGAGTTTCTGTTTTGCTTGGTCATTTTATTTGTAGATTCAATTGTTCATAGACATGTATTTATTGCCATTTTATTGTTCATATTTTTTATCTTCTTCTTCTTCAAGGAGACCCTTCAACATTTCATATAATACTGGTTTGGTGGTGATTACTCCCTTAGCTTTTTCTTGTCTGAGAAACTTTATACATCCATCAGTTCTAAATGATAGCTTTGCAGGATAGAGTAATCTTGGTTGCAGGTCCTTGCTTTTCATCACTTCAAATATTTCTTGCCACTCCCTTCTGGCCTACAAAGTTTATTTTGAGAAATTAGCTGACAGCCTTATGGGAAGTCCTTTGTAGGTAACTAACTGCTTTTCTCCTGCTGCTTTTAAGATTCTCTCTTTGTCCTTAACCTTTTGTATATTGATGATAACGTGTCTTGGTATGGGCCTATTTGGGTTTATCTTGTTTGGGACTCTCTGTGTTTCATGGACTTGTATGTCTGTTTCCTTCACCAAGTTAGGGAAGTTTTCTGTCATTATTTTTTCAAATAGGTTTTCAATTTCTGCTCTCTCTCTTATTCTTCTGGCACCCCCATGATGTGAACATTGGTATGCCTGAAGTTGTCCCAGAGACTCCTTATATTATCTTCATTTTTTAAAATTATTTTTTCTTTTTGCTGTTTTGATTGGGTGTTTTTGCTTCCTTGTATTTCAAATGGATGGTTTGCTTCTTGGCTTCGCCTACTCTACTATTGATTCTCTGCAAATGATTCTTTATTTCAGTTAGTGCATCCTTCCTTTCTGACTGGTCCTTTTCTATGCTCTCGAGGTCCTCTCACTAAGTTCGTTGAGCATCCTTATAACCAATGTTTTGAACTCTGTATCTGTTAGATTGCTTAACTCTGTTTCATTTAGTTCTTTTCCTATTCTTTCATTTAGGACATGTTTTTTTTTTTTTTTGGTCTTCTCATTTTGGCTGCCTCCTGTGTTTGTTTCTGTGTATTAGGTAGAGTTGCTATGTCTCTTAGGCTTCCTCGGGTGGCCTGTTATAGTAGGTGTCCTATAGGGTCCAGTGGCACAGCCTCCCTGATCACCCCAATTGTGCCTTCAAGGTACACCCTTGTGTGGACTGTATACCCTTCTGTTGTAATTGAGTCTTGATTTCTGTTGACAGGTCAAAGAGAGGGATTTACTCAAGCTGATCAGCTATAAGGACTGGTTATACCCACTGACCACTGACCTCTGACTACCTTGGAGGATCAGCTCTGCAGGGGCCCACCACACAGAGCAAGACTTACTTCAGCAGGGCTCTGGTACCCACTGAGTCCACTCCTTGCATTTGTTGCTTGTGAAGGTGGTGGCGGTAGTGCTTTGATGTGGTCTGACGCTGTCCACTGGGTGTGCTGGCTCTGGGGCAAGATCAGCCACTGCCTGTGTTCTACCCAGGCCACCAGGCATAAGCTACAAATCGATCTGCAGATGGCTGCTTCTTGTGCCGGGCTTGGAGGTACCCAGGCAAATCCAAGCTGTGACACAAGGCTGGCTGCTTCCAGTGCCAGACCTGGGGACACTTAGTGAGAGGTATGGGGCTCGCTGAGGCCAGATGCTCTTTGTTTAAGAGAATTTAGGAAAATCTGAAGCAGGAGCCAAGACAGGCCAATCCTATGGTAAAGCCACTAGAAATCGCTTGGGTGGGCCCAAAAGTTGGGTGGGGCAGGGCCTCAGGGAATCAACAGGGCGGGTCAACCAGTGTGAGCCAGGTTGCTGGAGTCCCAGATATGGCACCTGTCTGATGGCCCCCTGGGGGAAGGGCTCACCAAAGGAACAACAGCCTCTACCACCACGTCTGTCCGGGAGAAAGCTCCTCTCCAGCTTTTGCCCCAATGCCAAACAACTCAGTTCTTCTTCATATGTCTCTGTGCCTTTCAAGCTGCTTCCCTCATGCTGAAGCCAGTCTCAATGTGGCTTCCTTAATTCCTTAAAATAGGATTTCCATTCAGCTCTATTTCAGGTGGTTTTGAATGATGGTTGTTCTACAGTTTAGTTGTAATTTTGATGTGGCTGTTGGAGGAGGGGAGTATGGCTTTTACCTACACCACCATCTTGACCGGAAGTCTAACACCTTATTATGATAATAACTACAGCTGTACTTTAAACATGCTGCCTGGCCCGAGGTTCATAACATTAATTCTTAAATCACAAGATCTCAGAAAAGCATTTACCATCATTATTTGTGAGAACACATGGCTTAGTGGGGTAAATGATAGATTTCATAGGCTATGGACTCCTGCTCCTAAGAAAATAGCAGATACTTATATCTGTGACAGTGCAAAAAAGCTCTTATCCATCAATGGACCAAAAAACCTTTGGGAATACCAGAGCTTGTCCAGGCTCAGAATTCATTGGGAGATGGGCTCTAATGTTACATCATTTAAATTAAACTCAGTGTTTAGATTATTGAGAGTAACCAGAATGTAATAAAAGTGGTTTATATTTTTTTGGTGAAATTTTCAACCAATTCTTCTCTGTGGTTCAATTTGTTTCCAGAATTGTATTTATTAAACTTATATTTATTAAATTACAATGATCAATGAAGGTATAAAAATAGACCCTTTTATAAGATTTATCTTAACAACTAATCGCATCACAGTCTTCCCTCGCCACTTCACGCTTCGACTTTAGTGGCTTCACTCTATCGAGGTTTTGAAACTGATTAACCGTGATAAACGAGGGCCGACTGTATACTAAATATTTCACAATATCATAACTATTTCAAAAGGTAATATTTAACCCAAAGGATATTTGAATCTGAATACTAATAATGTTTTAGGAAGTTCTTAACTGACCAATTAAAGAGATTGGAAGAATATTACTCTCAATTTCAATAATGGCCTTGAAATATTTAGTACAGAAAAACTTTTAAATTATTCAACACCAGCTCCTTTTTAAATCACCATTTTAGAAAGGATTCAAGGGGCTACAAGTTTACTGGCCATATTTTCCTTTTTCTGTCTAGAAACCTGAATGTCAGATGATTTTTAAAATTATCTATAGAGTAAGATACCTACAAGAAACATGAAACCAGGGATAATGCTATCTATAATGAAAGACTGCACACTGGCTTAAGATATAAGAAGTCATTTACAGCCTGGCCCGTGTGGCTCAGTGGTTGATTCCCAGTCAGGGCACATGCCCAGCTTTTGGGCCAAATCCCCAGTGGGGAGCATGCAGGAAGCAGCCAATCAATGTTCTCTCTCATCGATGTTTCTATCTCTCTCTCTCCCTCCCCCTTCTTCTCTCTCTAAAAATCAATAAAGAGCCCTGGCTGGTTTTGCTCAGTGGTTAGAGTGTCCTGCGGTCCCGAGAGACCCAGGTTCGGTTCCCCCTAAGGGCATGTACCTCGGTTGCAGTTTGTCCCCGGCCCTGGTTGGGTCGTGCGGGTGGCAGCCACTCGATGTATCCCTTTCATGTCGATGTTTCTCTTTCTCTCTCTCCCTCCCCCACTCTATCTGAATAAAAAAAAATGGAAAAATGTCCTCGGGTGAGGGTAAAAAAAAAAAATCAATAAAGAAAACAGAAAAAAAGTCATTTACAAAAGACAATTCATGCCTAAACTTTCTAATGCACTTTCAAATTTCAGGTCTCTTTCTTTTGGCCTTGAAACAACCATGAGAAAGGTCAGGCTCATAGGCTTCTGTTGGCCTTGCTGAGGAAGGACTAGGGTCTGAGGAAGGCGGCTACGGGACCAGCGGCTAGCTGGGCAGGGATCAGATTTCCTGCTTCTGAACTCCTAACCACACTGTCCCTGATTTCTGGTCCACAGGCCTTGAGTGAAAGATGAGCCCAGAAACAGCTCCTTCTGGAGCCTTCTCATTCAACTTTTACACAGAGAATATAGGGAAGAGCTCAAAAGAGCTCTAAGGGCATTTCCATTTAAAGACTCCGTGTGAGCCCTGGCCGGTTTGGCTCAGCAGTTAGAGCATCGGCCTGGGGTCCAGAGAGACCTGGGTTCAGTTCCCGCTAAGGGAACGTACCCCGGTTGCAGTTTGTCCCAGGCCCTGGTTGGTCGTGCGGGTGGCAGCCACTCGATGTGTCCCTTTCACATCGATGTTTCTCTCTCTCTCTTCCTCTCACTCATTCTGAACAAAAAATGGAAAAATGTCCTCGGGTGAGGATAAAAAAAAAAAAAATTCCATGTGGTACATTATTTCATAATGGTAAAATCTATTCCCTTATTTTATTGGACGTCTTATGTTCAGATCTTTCTTGACATGAGGCATGCCTGACGGTCACATGCAGCCCAAGTAGGGGACATAAAGAGTAGTCTGGAGTCCCACCTTTCCTGATCCGTGTATGGTAAGTTAAGAAATGACCATAATTTTTTTTTTTTAAATTGGGTTTGCTCAAAGATAGTTATGCTGTAAATAAGGAAGAATAGAAAAACACTGTGCTTACGATTCTGGACACAGGGCGAGATGGCTACCAGTGAAATAAGCAGACACAGGCCTCCGTTTACCCCCAGGAGAATTTTGTTTTCCATGCAACCATCTTTCTGTGTGTAAAACACTGCCATCAAAATCAAGCCTCCGGCAGCAATGGAATACATGATGAGGGTCACCAGGGCCAGAGAGGCATACCACAGCTTGTTGTGAGCGGTGCCTGCGGTCCTGTTTTTCCAGGAAGAGGATGAGAGGGAAAGGAGAGAAGACAAGTCAGTAAAAGCTGGAACTGATCTGACATTGACCATGCTATCAAGCCCCAGGCCCATCATAACCTAGTTGACCAGAAGACATACCGTTCTACCAATGATTCTGCCCCATCAAAGTGAGAAGGTACAGGTAAATATGCAGAACATTTAGCTTATTGGTTCAGGCTTAGAATTTTTTCTAAATACTGAAAGAATTCTGTTTTTGACTCAAGTATATCCATCAACTATAATGAAGAGCCACAGACTTTCTGCATGTGTATTGGCCTTGGACAGATTCTGGCAGTATGAAAACGTGGCTCTTGGCTGGAGCTCACTTCCCGTTGTCCCTATAACCCAGAGACTGGAGGTGCCATAGTTCTTCCTCCAGGGCTGCCAGCAGCTCCTGCTGAGGCCCAGCCTGTCTTTAGGGAGAGAAGCAAATTAACTTCACTCAGAGAAAGGCGGGCTGACCTCAGCTCTTTTATCCCAGCTCTGAAAGGGAGACTCTGTAATAGTTCTGCTTCTCTAAAGCAATGCCAAGTATGATTAAGGGAAAATATGACATGAAAGAAAAGTGGAGAATTAATCAGCCAGGAAAAGAGTAAACATTTAAAGGGGATTTACAGTGAAGAATCTAAAAGAGGAGATTAATGTGCCTTCTAGTTTATAACTGTTAATAAAGGGATGGGAGACAGAAGAGGTGGTTTAACAAGCTACAGAAATCGTTCAGAACAAAGACAAGAGTGCTTATGGACACTAAAGGGAGAGGACAGAACACAGGGAGGATGGTCTGACTCACTGTCATCTGCCTTCCGATCACACTGTCCTCTGTAGCCACAGTCTCACACACTTTCAGAGAAAGCAACTTACTGTTTGTGCAAAACTGGAAAGCAACCCAGCTAAAATGTTTTAATGATGAAAAAAAAACGTACTGCGGCCAGAGACAAAGAAAATAGGGAGGGAAAGGCCAAAATGACAATGACCAATATATTCCTGGAATGGAGCCAGGCAATCCAATGACCACAAAATTATTCTGACATAAAAAGCACGCAAAGGAAATGAAGAGAAAAATGAGCCTCAAGAAAGGAAGGAAAAAAATCTAAACACCAAATAGTAATCGATGACACACACACAGAAACTGAGTTATATAGAAACAGGTAAACATTTCAACCAGTGTGTGGGTGGGGGTCCAAGTGTTTCTTCACTAGCCCTTTGGATTATGTCATTAATAAATGAAGGCCTTTCTTACAGTTAGTTTATTCTTATATTTCCAGTTAAATCTTCAACCCCAACCTCTCTTCTCAATTCCAGACTCATAATACCCAACTGTTCTGCGTCCTCACTTGAAAGTTTAACCAGCACCTGCAACTTAACAGGTCCAGAGTAATTTCCCAACAGTCAAACTTCCACCCTCGAAACCTGCTCTTCTAGGATCTTCTCATCCTCAGAAAACAGCAATTCCCGCCTACCCTTAGGAGGGTGGGGTTGGGGGAGAAAAAAAGGAAGAAGGAGGTGGCTCCTCGTTGCTCCTCCCCTCCCTGCTGCTGTCCCCCTCCCCAACCACCACGCCTTCACAGCAGCAAATTCTACTGGTTTCAACTTCAGACTATATCAGGACCTGGCTGCTGCTCACATCTGGCTCCAAGCTGCCTCGCCTCTTACTGGCCTCCTTACTTGCACCTCCAACTCCCTCTAATCTTTTCTCAATTTAAAATATACATTAAATTACATCTCTCCAGTACCTTTCTATTTCTTTTATTTTTTAAATCCCACCAGAGGATATGTTTTTATTGATTTCAGAGAGAGAGGAAGAGAGAGAGAAACATTGATGTGGGAGAGAAACATCAATCAGTTGCACCTGACTAGGGATCAAATCCACAACCTGGGCACGTGCCCTGACCAGGAATCAAACCCACAAACTTTCAGTGTATGGGATGACATTCCAGCCAACTGAGCCACCCAGCCAGGGCCACTGTCCTTCTGTTTTATACGATGGTCCCAGAAGCCCTACATGATCTGGCCCAGTGCCATCTCTGACTTCATCTTTTACACCCTTCTCTCGCCTCCGGGGTCGCGCCACAGTGGACGCTGCTCCTTAAACAAGCACAGCGAGGGCCCAGCAGTCCTGTCGCAGGCTCCCCCTGCTTCCTTCATCTCCCTCGCACCTCATCACGAAGCCTTCCCCTTCCCTGCTCTTCCCAGCTCCCACACCCGGCTTTCTTTTTCTCCAGAGCACTTTTCACCATTGAACCTATTACTTATTTGCTTAATTAATCAAGTTGATTATCTCTCCCTGTCCTCTCTCGCCCCCGAGAAGAATGTAAACTCCACAGAGTAGGACATGGTTGTGTGTATTGCTCTTCTACTGTGGAGGGGCTGGCAGATAACAGGCACTTAGTGCAAGGACTATCAACTGCTAAAAAATAACTTTATCGTGAATAAATGCTGAGTGAGATGCACATGCGTAGAGATTGGAAAAGGACAGAGGCCTGGCCAGTGTGACTCAGTGGACTGAGCATCATCCCATGCACTAAGGTTCCAGTTCAATTCTCAGTCAGGGCACATGCTTGGGCTGTGGGCTCGATCCTCAGCAGGGTGCAGAGAAGGCAGCCAATAAATATTTCTCACATCGATGTCTCTATCTCCCTCTCCCTTCCACTCTTTCTAAAAGAAAAAAATCATTAAAAACAAAGAAAAGGACTAGGCAGCAGAGCAGAGGGCACAGACACAGCAGCCAGCAGGCGCCAGACCAGGCTGGGAGAGTTAGCTGGGCTCAGGCTTGGGCTGAGGGCTTGGTCAGTAAACCAAACTCCAAAACAACATCAACTGAAAATCTAAAATACGAGTCTCCATTGGAAACACCTGAATGTATTATCTACTCTTTATTTCAGTTTTGATACTGAACTGACGCTTCACATCACAAAATTTCAGCTAGAAAATAGTAAAAAAAAGGCAACAGGCCCCAGATGGAGTGCTTTATGCTACGACACCAAACCAAGACAACCTAATCGCAGCTTTGGTTCTCCCCAAAATAAGAATCTTAAACCAGACAATCAAGAATCGCCTGATTAGCACTATTAGGGAATCTACCTGAGAGACCCCTGCCATCCCCTAAAGGAGAATAACCTTACAATAACCTGCTTTTCCCCAGTATGACTTCCTTGTGCCCCATCCCTTCTGCCTATAAAAGTCTCACTTTGTACAGCTCCTTGGAACTTCTTTCTGCTAGATTGGATGTTAGCCAATTCAAATGGACTTTTTGCTCAAATAAACTCTGAAAAAAAATTTAATATGCCTTTGTTTATCTTTTAACAAAAGGAAAAACACATTAAACATCTAGTCCAAACACATCATTTTACAGGTGTGAAAACGGAGGTCAGAGGGGCCAAGAGATGTGCCCACAGTAACAGAGCAAGCTAGAGACAGGGGTAAAATCTGCTCTCTCCTGGTTTCTAGGCGCACGACTTCTCGACCTTTCTCTCCCACTGCCGTTGGGATTGTCTCCTCAAATCTTTACACAAAGAAAAAAAGAAAGGGTTTCCCTTACTTTGGTTGATCCATGAAGAGTGATAAGACTACTATATTTTCTAGCCTATCCTTGTAAGCAAGAGACTATTTAAAAAGACAGCAAAAATTCGAAATTAGATGAATTTACATACAAACAAAAATATTAGTGAGCTTCCTAGTTTAATCCTGATTTTGGGCAAACCAGCCAACCAACTATAAACATGTTGCTGACAAGAGGGGTTTTGTTGGGATATTGGCCTCAAAGCCGGGACAGCAGCAGCACTTGTTGCAAAGCTCTTAGGCCATTCTTATTGAGTGGTGTCTGAGCAGTTTTTAAAGCAACCAAACTCTTCCAAAATGCCTGTTAAAAGTTGGCAGCAATAATCAGTCCCGGAAAATGACTTCAGAATCAATCAAAACATTAAAGTCAAAGTGAAGAGGCACAAGTATTCTTAAGAGAACATACGATTTAATGGGCAGATCAGGTACTCAGTATCAAAGACTTTAGTATTTTACCAGGCAGTTCCTTATTTGAAGAATATTTGTGAAAATTTTAGGAAAAATTTAGGATCACATATTTATTTTATCTAATAAAAAATTCAGAGTGAAGGTACAATAAGAATAATCATGGAAAGAGTGACATGAAATCAATTACAATGCATATCCAATTTATTGTTCATAACTGAGAAAATAGGGTCACATAAAACTATAGTCAACCATTTGACTTATCAAAATAAAATAGAGTGGTGACCTCAAACATAAATTACTAGGTTTCAAGGACAGCACACATGAACTTATATATGAGCACTTCTTCGACCTAAAAATCTGTTTTATCGTAGAGATTAAGACTTGAAAAACTACCAAAACATTATCTGTAGTGCTACTTGTAAGGGTAGTTAATATGCGGTAAACATTTTAGAAATTGACCATAAGTATTTGGATGTTTACTCCAAAATTTACCAAATAATGAAATGATTGCCCCAGCCGGGTAGCTCAGTTGGTTAGAGCATCATTCCAATACGCCAAGATTGCGGGTTCGATCCCTGGTCAGGGCACATACAAGAATCAACCAATAAATGCATAAATAAGTGGAACAACCAATTGATGTTTTTTTCTCTCTTGCACTCTCTCTCTCTCAAATCAATAAATAAAAATGTTAAAAAATACCCATGCTTTTAAATAATAACAATAATAAAAAAATGATTAATACTATCTTTTCACTCATGCATCTCATGATTTGATCTTTAATAAACAATACCAAAGTAAAACAGCAATGACTACTATCAAGCTGAGAAATATAATCAGAATGAAAAGTATTTTGAGAGAATTTGGACAGTATATTTTGTTTTGTCCAAAATAAAAAATAAAATTCTCATTCATATAAAACTTTCTAATACCCCTCCCCCCACCAAAAAAAAAAACCAAAACAGTATAAAATAACCTGATGCCTACAAAATCTACAAAAATCACAAAAGCCTTACTGGGTACAAAAGGCAACAACTATCATTCATATTGTATACGTAAAGTAAGACAGAGAGCATAGTGCTTTGTACAGAGTCACAAGGATAGTCAACGTGGTCTTAGGACTCAAGAGGCTGGACCTTTGGCTGTCATTTCCTTAATGTAGATCAGCAAGAATATTTTCCACTTATCCTGGGATATGAATTCTATTTTCAAGACACTTAGAGTTTGTTTTTCAAATGCAGGATGGCTTTCTAAGGTAGCGCACAACAGATCTTTCTAATGAAGGGGTCCTTCCACTCTGAAGCAGGGGAGAACAAAGAAAAAAAAATTGTTGCCAGGCCAGTGAGGCTCAGTGGTTGAGCGTTGACCCATGCACCAAGAGGTCACCGGTTTGATTCCCAGTCAAGGCACATGCCCAGGTTGTCGGCCCAATCCCCAGTGGGGGACATGCAGGAGGAGGCCAATCTATGTTCACTCTCACTGATGTTTCTATCTCTTTCTCCCTCTCCCTTCCTCTCTCTGTAAAAATCAATAAAGAAAAAAATATATTTTTTTCTTTTGCTAATCCTCACTTGAGGATATTTTTTCCATTGCTTTTTAGAGAGAGTGAAAGGGAAGAAGAGGGGAGGAGAGAGAGAGAGAGAGAGAGAGAAACATTGATGTGAGAGAGACACATTGATCTGTTGCCTCCCACATGCGCCCTGACCAGGGCCGGGGATGGAACATGCCACCCAGGTATGTGCCCTTGACCTGGAATCAAACCTGAGACTCTGGCTCTTGGGCCAATGCTCTAACCACTGAGGCACACTAGCCAGGGCCAATTTTTTTTTAAAGGAGAAACTATTTCATCGCATCTTCTTTGCAGAAAGGGAACCTCCAACTCCAAAGTATTTTTTTTTTTTTACTTTCCTAAGGTTGGAAGCCTAAGACAAAGCCTGCTCAAGTTTTCAGCCACCAACACAACAACAGAGCTGGGACCAAAATGTGCAGCAACGAAGTTGAGTGTGGCCAAATCACACTGACTTAGAGCTCAAATGAGAGAGTGCAGGAAAAAGGAAGCCAAAAGGTGAAAAGAAATGAAGTGGAAGAAGGAAAGGTAGAAAGAACTGAAAAGCAGTACAAGGGAGAAGCAACTGAAGCAGTCCAAAGAGCAAGAGTGAGGGGAGAAGGCAGCCGGGGCTGTTCTGCGGTAGCAGGCTGCCGCTCCCTGCCAGCACCGCGGGAGCCTTCATCAGCGCTGTACTGTGGGCAGCGTCTCTGGGTCACTGAGTTCACGTGGAAGTTTCCCGTAAAGGCACATACCAGTTTTTGTTCCATTTATGCGCAAAGTCCACGAGCAGGAAGAGCTGGATGCCTATGAAGAGGAAGGCTCCGGTGGCTCCCACATAGCGCCAGGCTGCAAAAGAAGACCACCCAACAGGGATGACACGCCTGTGCCAGGTGTTAGCACAAAAGAGAGTAATGACTCCCATCCATTCTCACTGCATGCTCACTGTACCTGCAACAGATTTAATTCCCACGCAATCGCACTATTATTAGGCCACTTCATAGATGAGAAAAACCGAGAGTCTACGTAAGTTGACAAGGTCCCTTAGCCAGGAACGGGTGTAGCAGAGATGTGAACACAGTCTGGCTCTGGAGCATCCAAGCTTAACCTCCATGCTACAAATGCCAGATATTCTAACAGACGTAGTAATTCATGAAGTCAACGTGGCCCACAATTTAAAAGTAAACACACGCATTGCCAGAAAAATCAAGGAATCTAATTTTATTGGACAGGGAGCCACCAGTGTCTAGTAAGGAAATGAGGTTCAGACTTGGGAGCCAAGGACTCGGATTTTATTCCAGCTGTGTCACAAAGAAGCCCGAACACTGGACGAGCCATGTCACATCCCTGGGTTACAGCCTGTCTATAAAAATGACTGAGCCGGACTCGAGGGCTGCTAGGTGCCTTCCCATTCTAAAGATATTATTCTAACACGTAAAAGCACATCTGTGGGGAAGAGAAAACCAGTTAATAACATTTTAGGTAAAAACAAGACTTGGCTATAACTTCCTTAAGGAGTACGTAAAATTAGTGTGATCTTGAAAAACTAGCTGGACCTTCACACATGAATACTTGAGGGTCTGTGGCTATTCCTCACGGACTAACCCCATATGAATACTTTCACTATCTTAATTAGGAAAGTGAACTCATTTGGGTTGAACAATATTTTGAACCATTGAAATTCAGACCTTCTTTCCACCCTAGGTCATTTGAAGAAGGGCCCTCAGTTTCAGCTATGATGAAAGGCTTCATATTAAATTAATTTTGGTAGGTTCTATCAATAAGGAACATAATTCGGTGTAATGCAGTTTCGTGTAAGGTGAATTCAGAAAGAGACTGGGAGATGCCTCTTATCCCATGATAGCTGCAGCAGATTTAAAGCTGCTAAGAAGCCCTGTGCTCTGTGCCCTGGCTTTTCTGTGCCCAACCCAGAAAAAACAAGGTCTCCAGGACCTGCCTCTTCAACTGCTCGTGTCCAGCTGACTACTCAACTGATTTGCAAACAAATGTTAAATATTCCATTTCCCCCTTAGGCCAGTAACTTTAACAGTATCATTTCAATTCTTCTGCCTGCTGAGTAACCAACTAGAGGCCCTCCCACAGCCTGCCAGGAAGGGAGGGAGTGGGGGAAACATACAGAGGAGGGGGAACAGAGGGCGTAGGAGGTAGAGAGAGTGTGGGCAGGGCAGGATTTTTTTTAAGCCACAAGAAAGTCAGTAATTCAAAATATCAAAGGCACTCTGGACTATGCTTTTGAACAATTTTACAAAATGGGTAAAAACAAAATGAATAGGAACCCGTTTGTACCGTTGAGAAAGGTCTCCTGGTCTGGAATGAAGAAGGCCCCTGAGCACATGGCCCCCAACAGCAGAAGCTTGAAGAACCAAAAGCTAGAAAGAAAAAAAGAGGAAATGTATTTAAATGATATTCAAGGAAGGACAAAAGACCTCTTAGAAGGTAAGCATGTCAACCCATGATTCTGCCACTGGTACTGTTCTCTCCAAATCGAGGGGAAGTAATTAAGTGACTGGAGAGTGCCTTTTCCCATAATTAGACAGACTCAGCGTGGCCTCTGATTGTGCAAAACACCATTCTGTTGCAGAGGTGGAAGTGACCTGGGGAAAGGTCTTGGTACGAGAAATTAACTCTTGTCTTCACTGCATTTCTCATTATGGTACCAGTGTTAGAAAGAGGTTCTAGTTCTTCGGCCACTGTGTGGTGACAAGGATTACGTCCCACCTCCCCTAAAATCGGTGCCAGTAACTGCAGCTGGAGGGACAGCAGTGAGAGGGTCTGCCGGTTAGGAGTGGCCGAAGGGAGCGAAGTGAAGACTTGCCCGTTGTGAATATAAGCCCTGCAGCTTTTGCTGTTGTTGATATTGTAGGTCAGGAGGCAGAAGATGAAGAAGAAACAAGCCATTCCAAAGCAGACTCTATACACCGCCGAATACCCCACCAGCTTCTCACAGGTGTCCCCAGCTTTAATGCCTTTACAAATGTCTTCGAAAAAAGGAATCTGAGGAAAAAGAGAAAAAGTCATCTGTTAAAACCTAGTAAAGAGCCCTGGCCGGTTTGGCTCAGCGGATGGAGCGTCGGCCTGCGGTCCAGAGAGACCCGGGTTCGGTTCCCGCTAAGGGCACGTACCTCGGTTGCAGTTTGTCCCCGGCCCTGGTTGGTCGTGCGGGTGGCAGCCACTCGATGTGCCCCTTTCACATCGATGTTTCTCTCTCTCTCTCTTCCTCTCTCCCTCCCACTCTATCTGAACAAAAGGAAAAATGTCCTCAGGTGAGGATTAAAAAAGAAAAAAAAATGGTAAAGAGGCTGTTGTGAAGTGCCCCCTCAGCCTACAAGTCCAAGTCCAATGTGGAAACGCACCACGTGCATGAACAAACACTGAGGAGAAAGGCCCTCTTCCAAAGGCCTTTCTTAATTTCCTCTGACTCTTTTTTGAAGACGCAGAGCTTATAAAGTACCACTCAGCCTTTACTTACCTCAAATGAATTCTGAAATCCAGCATCAAAATTATTTAAAATTACACTTGCAATACATGGATATATTTTTCTTGAAATGCATACATGTATAGAATAAAAAGTGACAGACTTCCTTCACTCCCACCCCAAGTGTCACTGACCTCTCCTCAGGAGAGTTAACAATTTGGTGAATACTTTTATTAGTTTACTTATATAACTATGTGTGTGTACATATGTATGTAGACACACCCCCACACTTACATACAATACACACATACATATACTTGTATGGTACCATCTACATTACTCACACACACACACACACACACACACACAGCTTCATTAAGTAAAAAAGTATATATATATTGTTGTGTAACACTTTTTTTCCAATTAACAATAAGCTGTGGAGATCTTTCCCTATTAATACATAAAATGCCAGCCTTTTAAACCACCATATAATATTTTATAGTAAGGATGGAGAAAAACTGAGAAACATTCCCACACTGATCTTGTTGGGAAGGGGGCTTGCTCTGTGCACTTAGCTGTTGCCATTACAAACACTGACTCGACAACACTGTGTGTGTGCCTCGTCACACATGCGCCATCATTTGTACAGAACAGACTCTGGACCCAGAAATGGAATCAGTTACCCAGCCCCTATTAGTAGAGCTCCATTTTCATAAATAGACATGAAAGATTTCATAAAGAGCCCTGGCCGGTTTGGCTCAGCGGTTAAAGCGTCGGCCTGCGGTCCTGAGAGACCCGGGTTCGGTTCCCGCTAAGGGCGCGTACCTCGGTTGCAGTTTGTCCCCGGCCCTGGTCGGTCGTGCGGGTGGCAGCCACTCGATGTGTTCCTTTCGCATCGATGTTTCTCTCTCTCTCTCTGTTCCTCTCTCTCCCTCCCACTCTACCTGAACAAAAAATGGAAAAATGTCCTCGGGTGAGGATAAAAAAAAAAAAAAGATTTCATAAAGAAATGTCAGAAGTCTTGTCGTCAGCACATTCTTGCAACTGCAGTTTTTTTGGATCAGGGCAAGGCGTAAATGCATAAAAAACCACTACGGTATTTTTGACCAGGCTACCGAACAAAGTAACACATATGTAGGATGGTCAGAATGTCTAGTTAAATTTAAATTTCAGATAAACAATGACTAATTTTTTAGAATAACTATGTCCCATAGAGTATTTGGTGCAAACTTAGACTAAATATTGCATGGGACATACTTATACTAAAAATATATTCCTTTCCAAGAGACGAAGCTCAAAAGAAGGCAGGGTCTTATGAGGAAGGGCCAGGTGTATGTCATGCTAAGAAGTCTGGCCCTGTCCTGTGGGCAAAGGGAAACAACTATTTAATTTAAGCCAGAATGCCTTTTTTTCCCCTCTTTTATTTATTTATGTATTTATTTATCTATGGTAGTTGTTTTTTTAAGCTGGAATACTTTTGGCTACAAAGTGGAGGACATTACCCTCTGAGGCAGGAGGGTAAGGTAGAAGGCCACTGGTTTACCAGTCCAAGTAATGGATGAAGAAGGTAAGCAGTCCCAAGGATAATAACAATTCTGTACGTAGAAGTCATAGTTGGTTGAAATGTATAGACAACAAGAATGAAGTCAAGGATTGGGGGAGGGTTCTCTTCTGCTTTAACACGTGGCTGTTTAGGGTGGAGGGGGAGTAGGGTTAGCAAAGGGCAAGAATGGAACTGGAAGAACAGATCAGGAGTTTGTTTTTAACAAATAGAGTTGGGGGCATCCTGGATAATCCCAGAGAAGATGCCTGGTCTGGAAATTGCTTCAGAACAGCAATCAGGAGTAAACACAGGAAAACCGGAAGTCATCCCATGCAGGTATTGAGAGAAGTCGGATGCTTTCTGAAGGAGTTTAAATATTCTGCAGGGTTAAAGTCTTCAGATACTGAAGTAATGGGGGCCTCCACATAAAGTGGACGTTTCAGAGCTTCTAACCGGAAATGAGAGCTGCACCCATGAGTGGTGCCAATCACAGGAGGTAATATTGCTTTAAATCTGTGAGAGTTATTCACTCTGTCTCACTTAATAGGCTGTTTTATTTATATGAGATTTATTGCTCTATAATATTCATTCAAATCTTTTCTTCCCTCTCTTCTCTCTTCCATTCTATCAGCAAAGCTAATTTCTCACACACATACCCCAACCACCTGTAACACTTTCATCTACACCAGCCCATCTTTCACCTTCAGGCTCTTCACCTCCTGCCCCAAACCCACTTCTCTCTTCTTCTAAAATCCATTTTAAGAAGAATGCTAATGCCAGTAGGCCTGGGCTCCTATCCAATCACCCCCCACAAATGCCCTCCCTTGTTGACTCCCAGAGGCCCTTAGGCTTCTCAAAGGGTGAGTATGTGGCATGGCATACTTCGTCCAAAAGAAAAGTAGGCAAACAACCCCCTGCTCCAAATACTAAGGCCTGCTTTATGCTCTGTGGGTGACTTAGTCATTTAGCTTTCAGTAAGCAGTGAGTATTTTTAGGCAAAGAACCTCGAGTTGAACAAGCTGGCAGGATTTAGCAAGGGGAATTTGCTCTGATTAAATATTTGCTGTTCCAAACTCCATCCCAGATTTGGAAAAAGAAAATATACATCACACAGAGATTCCATACTTCAGGGTGAAGGAGACGGGCCTGCTAAGGGTGTTGCCTCTGAAACTTGGCTCTGGGCAACCAAGGACACTGCATCTGTGTTTGTTCTATACAGAATCGAGGGCCAGGGGCTTCCTCCCAACCCTTAAGGCAATCAAACTCAAAGCCACAAATTATCAGTAAGAATAAACAGCTCACTTCCAACCCTAACTCCACCACTAACTTGGGCAAATGACTACCCTCCCTGGGCCTCAATGTCCCTTCTCTTACAATGAAAAATAATGCTACCCTGTCCACCTGAAACTAATATAAAATAACACAGAACGTTAACTGTAATTGAAAAATTAATACATTCATTTTTTAATATCTTCACCCGAGGATATTTTTCCATTTATCTTCAGATAAGAGGGAGAGAGAGAAACATTGACGTGAGAGAGATATCGATTGGTTGCCTCCCACACAACCCCAATGAGGGCCAGGAACGGAACCGCAACCAACGTACGTGCCCTTGACCAGAATAGAACCCACAACTCTTTAGTCTGAGGGCTGATGCTCTAATCACTTAGTCAAACCAGTCAGGATGAAAAATTTTTAATTTTGCCACCCACCTCATGAAGTTGCCCTGAGAATTAAATCAATTAATCCTTGCCATAGTTCCTAATCCATAATACCCATTAAGTAAACTTCCTTAATTCTGAGGTACTGTCTTTTTAAAAAATTAACTTGGGGAACGGAGTCAGGCACATGACATGAACCACTGTCTGGTTGATGTATTCTGACTTAAACATGGCGGGAAATGAACATCTGAGAACTCCACAGAGGTTTGGTTCACTTCCCAAAGGATTCATGTTGAAAGATACATTATCCAATTACTTGTCTTTCAAAGACCTAGACACCACCCAAAAGAATACATCTGAACTCCCAAATCATGGAAAAGATGTTCAAAACAATATAAGTATTAAATTAAAAAGATGGGGACCAGGAGAAAAACCAAGTAATTTGTCTCCATAGGAGAAATGCTAGTTATGCCCCTCAAACAACTTCCATCTCAGGCAAATAAATATACAGAGCTATGGAATGGCCTACAGATCTGGTTGGCCAGAGGCCCAGATGCTGTGAATTTAGAAATAAAGTATAGACTTTGGGAGTGATTCTTATGGAAATGGAGAGGAGGAAGATGAGTCATGTTCCTATAATATCAAAGTATTATTTCAGAGAAATGAGAACATGGCACATTAATAAAGCTTATGACCCTTACATTCGAAGAGTATCAAATTTCTAGAGCACTGAATGAAACTAAGATGCAAAGAAAAGCTTTGGGCAGCTCAGCATGAATAATGGCATGAAAACTAGAGGAACTAGCTCTGCACACTGTTTAGTATCCCTTACCTGAAAATGAATTTCAGAACTGAGAGCCTCTCTCAGTCTGGCGCTCTCATTTCTAATATCCGGCTTATCCTCAAACTTTCTAAGACAATTCATTTTTCTTTGTGGGCCATGACAGCGAGGTCTGTTACCCACCAATGGGCAGAAGCTATGAAATGGGGAATGCTAAAATCCGCCTCCATCCTCCCCTAGACAGCCTCTAGGCAACCAAGACTCATTTCTCAAGAAGTTACTATGTTTGAAGCCCTTTGTGGGATGTAAGGGCTATTTAAAAACAGTAACAACCAATCCTTGCTTCTCTTTTATTTGGGTTTCTAAACATTTTAAAGAGAATAGTCCACATTGTGTCATTATTAAGACCACAAGGGGAACAAAAATTCCTCAGACTGGTTTTATTTGACGCTGCCACCTCTGAAATCAGGAACTCAATGCCCCCAAACAATTGCCGCTCACAGCTCCTTTACCACGAGCATTTCATCAGGATCTAACAGCCACAAATACGATTAGACAGTCAGAAAACAATTCTAATCAAACAGTAAATAGCAA